TTGATCAGGATATTTTCTTTAGAAGGTCAGATGTAACACAAACAAGGAACAATGGTTTCAAGCTCAACAGGCCACAATCTAGGACTGAGAACAGAAGATACTTTTTCACCTACAGGGTTATTAACCCATGGAGCAGCCTTCCCGCTGAAGCAGTAACAGCCAAAACTGTGTTGTTTTAAAATACTGTATACCTAGAAAAGATAATGAAGGCAAATGGGGGCCTTCAACAAGCCGCCGGCTTCCTGTCCTCATTGAGGCTACTAGGGTTAGTGGCCCTCACGGTACTCGGGTAAATACCTCTGTATATTCCTTCTAAAAATAAATTCATCCAGATTGTACCCACTGGTAAAGCAAGAAAACAGGAAATGCTTTTGTACCCACAGGGTTATAAACCCATGACACTACCTATCCTCCGAAGCCGTAAATGCCAAAACATTACTGCAGTTCAAGATCAGATTGAAAAAAATCCTCGGGGAAAAATGGGGAGGGAGTTCGTCTCAATCAAAATGGATTTGACAAGCCGCCGGCATCCTGTCCCCGTCGTGGCTGCTAGATAGATAGTGGCACTCGGTAAATTCAGGTAAGCCCAAATTCGCCCCATCCTTGACATATGAATCTAATTACTTTCATTATTTCATTTCATTGGCTACTGATGTCTCTCCTGAGGTCTTAAAAACAAGAAGTGTTCATATATCGAGACTAAAACACATCAATTATATCGCCGACTCGTTTCCAACAAACCACAAGAGACTAACGTCAGTACTCGCAATCTGGTTTCGTGCGGAAGATTCCGATACCATATGACTATCATCTTTCTGTATAGCCTATATATCCTCTAGAGCATGTGTTTGTTTAGTAGATTTTTTTTCTAAAACGTCACCCCATAATTCAAATTCCGTCCCGCTAGAGCAAGGTAGCTAAAGTTTTGAGATGAAAATATTCTTATTGGAATGACCTGATGTAAGGCCATTAACCATATTTCGTATGTTCACATACACTGCTAACTTGATTTGATATATTTATTGGGCCAAATCTTTACGATAAGATCTCATTTAAAAGGATTTACTGTCCTAAATTGTTGAGATGGCACAATATAATAATTTACGCTCGTGTGTAAAATGTTTGCTTGCATCTTATAAGTATTTGGGAACGTGGTGTCAGCGGTTATTACCTTCACACCCGCCAGGTGTGTGGCCGTGTGGTGAAGGAAGTGTGCGTGCAGTCAGGGAGAGTAGTAAGCGTGTCGGGGGCATCGACACGGCGCTGCTTGGAAGGTTGCCACGTGTGACCGGCTATGAGGCTCCGTTATTGTGAAAGGGATGGGGGTGGGGTGTAGGGGGGAGGGGGCGTCACTAGAGATTCATCACGGTGATGGCTGCGGTTTGGTGGTAATAACTAGCTGTGTAAATCTCGTATATATCTTTGTAATTTATAGCAAGACTGGGCAATGTAAAGATTTGGTACAAGAGTTTTCTCTTTTTTTCCCCCAGTCATTTTTTTCTCCCCTCGCTTCATTTACTGTTTTCCCCTCTCCCTTCCTAGACTTTTATTTATCCTTCATTTAATTTGTACTTCTTCCTTCCCTTCCCCCCCTTCCTCTTCTCGTTTTTCCTTTTTCCTCTCCCCATCTTTACACCTCTCCTTACATTTGCACCCTCTATTCCCATCTTTCACCACCCTCTCCCAATCTTTCACCCCCACTCCCTATCTTTCACCTCTAACTCATTCGGTTTCTCTAAATATAGTCAATAATTGCCGTTTATCATCAGTTACACAAATAAATCACACTAACGTGATATATCAATAAGAAATTTGAAGCAATGAAGTGACTAACCAGGAATCAGGGTACTCCCAGCCACACACCTTACCACTGCACTACAACATGGTATAACTTACGCAACCTGGGATTCCACCGAATCCACAGGAAGTCTGGAGGTCTCCACTGAAGCCAGTCTAAGGTTTGTATATAATCCCCATGCATTCTGGTGTAGGCAAAGTAGTTTATCAACTGTACGCTCCAGCTTCAGAAAGAAACCCACACTAGCGTGATTTAATTGTGCAGCTTAAGCGTATGGTTGATGAACTACTTTGCCTGCACAAGAATGCATATTTTTTTTAATCCGGACTGGCTTCACTGGAGGACTCCAGGGGCCAGATTCACGAAAGCACTTACGCCAGCACTTACGAACGTGTACATCTTTCCTCAATCTTTGACGGCTTTGGTTACATTTATTAAACAATTTGCAAGCATGAAAACTTCCCATTCAACTGATGTTATTGTTATAAACAGCCTCCTGGTGCTTCCGAGCTCATTGACTGTTTAATAATTGGAAACTAAGCCGCCAAAGATTGAGAAAAGATGTACAGGTTCATAAGTGCTTGCGTAAGTGCTTTCGTGAATCTGGCCCCAGACTTCCTGTGGATTCAGTGGAATTCCAATTTGTATAACTTAAACCATGTCGTGGTATGAATAGTTAATGTGCGCGGCTGGGAGTACCCTGATCCCTGGTCTAGTCACCTTATTGGTCCAATTGGTCATTTGTTTAAAATGGCAAACTAAATGCATATTAAAATACATAACATTAATCGTAGATAATAAGACGATTTATTTCTCTCAATCGTAATAACTCCTAATTGAAGTACTTTGATTAAGCAAAATTTTTATATTTTGTCAATAAAGATGTAATGATAAAATTGTATTCGAACGCGATATATCAGATAAGTTAAATAAGTCTTAACTCAAACGCTTGATAGACACATCTTCAACATTCACAAGCAACAGTGTAAACACTTCAGTCCAGTTCCTACCCCTCACGGATAGATATCACTTCTCCTGGCCCCGTCACGTGCCTGTTCAGATGCTTCAAGGTATATTAGTATATGCAGATTTTGAATTCAGCGTATAAAGAAACATTGAAAGGCCAAACAAGTCTTCAGTATCCCCAAAGATAGTAATGGTGATTGATAACATGTCACCGTTATGCCATGCAACGAGTGGAGTCTGGAGACGCTGGGTGAATATTCACCACCCTGCTATATGTCCGACAGTTTTTTTTTTTTATACGAGTTTATCAGTGTGGGTGCATCTAGCAGCTGGTCACCTGTTTTGGACCTTTACCTTGAATTGTCAGCTGTTACGCCCGCTATTTGTGGGCGAAGAAGAAATAGGTTTTGAGGCAATGAATTGTTGTTTAAATTTTTTTCAGTAAAAATGATCATGTTTGCAATATAAGACGATCAGTTACTGTTCATTGTCATTTTTCTTTCTCAAGATTTTGGGTGTACTGTTTGTGCTGTGAAATAGCCAGGAAGTTTGTGGCGAGGGAGGGAGGGAGTACTACGAGTGGAGTAAAAGGAAGGGGGTTTGTAGGTAAGGTTAGGCTTCTTAAAACTCTCCTAAAAATTATGATGATTTGCGACTTCCAGTGTGATCGATATAGGCTTTTTTTAATAGCTTTTTGGTGTCTGTATAAAAAGTTATTTCAGCTGTTTTTAACATTTTATGGAGTGATATATATATATATATATATATATATATATATATATATGTATATATATATATATATATATATATATATATATATATATATATATATATATATATATATATATATATATATATATATATATATATATATATATATATATATATATATATATATTTCACCTAGTTGTGTTTGCGGGGGTTGAGCTTTGCTCTTTCATCCCTCCTCCTCTCAACTGTCAATCAACTGTTTACTAACTACTTTTTTTTCCTACACACACACACACACACACACACACACACACACACCAGGAAGCAGCCCGTGACAGCTGACTAACTCCCAGGTACCTATTTACTGCTAGGTAACAGGGGCATTCAAGGTGATAGAAAATTTGCCCATTTGTTTCTGCCTGGTGCGGGAATCGAACCCGCGACACATAATTACGAGTACTGCGCGCAATCCACCAGGCTACAAGGCCCTCCAAATACACACACACACACACACGTGTGTGTGTGTGTCTAAAACGACAACAAGTTTGTTATGATTCTGGCACGAATCTTATCGATATATATTTTTTATTCTTTTTTTGAGATATATACCAGAGTTATCTCATGTTTTTCTTCACTGAAGCAGGAAGTTGTAAAAATAACTCTCCAAAGTTCTTTTTTACATTTTTTTAGTCTACCCAATCAATAAAAAGTGTAAAAATGATCTTAGGAGAGTTAGTTTTTCAACTTCCTGCTTCAGCAAAGAAAAACATAAGAAATACCGAGAAGATTCGTGCCAGAATCATAAATCTAAAACTTTCTGTAGTTTTCAACTAAATAAATACACACACACACACACACACACTATATATATATATATATATATATATATATATATATATATATATATATATATATATATATATATATATATATATATATATAAATATATAATACGAGGTGCTAGAGCTGTCAGATTCCTCTTCTAGCACCTCAGTGTGGCAATACTGAGGAGAATGTACACTGCATTCAGGGCTCCTGCCCGCCATCTGGGCAGCTGGAGAAACTTGTCAACCTGTTCCAAATAACTTTGTATGTTGTAACCAAGTTTGTATCATAATTTAAATAAACTTAAACATTTACAGTATATAAGGAGGAAGAGAACTATCAGGGGTAAGCGCCAAGCTATTACGACTATATAAGTACTGGGAAGGGGTCATGATAGAGATTTGGGATGGGACGGGGGTAAGGAATGGTGCCCAACCACTTGGACGGCCGGAGATTGAACGCCGACCTGCATGTAGGAAGACCGTCGCTCTACCGTCCAGCTCAAGTGGTTGATCGAAAACAATGCGTGCAAGCACACCCGGGAGTCCCACAGGGCTGAGCTTCCGGGTGCTACATATCCTCATCTTCGAGTTTGAGAGTTCCTATGAACACAACTAGTGGTGGTATCCTCCTTTATAATCTTTTAACCGACGTGTTGGTACTATAGCCTTGATTGACATGTGATGATGTATCGTTTCAGCTGGTGTTCATGTCGATCTTCGTGGTGCCGGCTCGCGTGCTGGGGATCATCCTGTGCCTGATATTGGCCTACGTGCTGGCCTCGGCGGGGCTGTGGGGACTCTCAAGGGAGGACCTCGCCGCCAGGCCCATGAGCGGATGGCGCCGGTAAGTCACAAGTCCCGATTCCCTTCCACCTTCCAGCTGGTCGTCCTCAGCTGCTGCATTGTGGGGTGCGGGGGAGGAAAATCTGCGTTTGGGCAAGATAAAATAAAATCCCCGAAATGCGAGTTAATTGGGCTACGTCACTCATCCTGTGAGTGAACTTATTCGGGCGTAGGCAGGTACGTCCGGCTTGCGTTATGGTAAGTGGTGGGGTGGATGGATGTCAATGGTTGTATGGGCTAGTTTTCTTTCGCCAACCTACACTTAGTCGCTAGCTGTGGCGTCTTGTGCCACACACATTATCACTGTTCGCCCACTCAATATTTCTTTGCGTCTGGAGTCGGTGTTATCGGCAACTGCAGTGATTTTATGACATTGCAATTCAAGTATAGATTTGTAAAATTGCATGAGCTATGAGTGTGTTATCCGATATCGGGATTAGGGCACGAAATGCTCCAAAATAATACTGTAGTTTGTACAATATTTGCTATATAACAGGATGATATTCTCGCGCCACCATAAAAATATGTGCTTAACTTAGTATTACCTCAGCCCACATCACACTGTAATATCCTACCTCCTCCCATCCCTCCACAGACCTTGCCACCAACAATATTGCAAAACAAATTAAATACGACTCTAGTAGATGTGTTAAATACATTGTTGCGATTCACGCACTCGCATTATGTCATCCACCGTTATAACAGTCAAAGCAGTACTTAAATCATATTGGGCTGCAACCGATATTTAAATTGCCATACTAAATGTGGACACATGCCGTTCTATACATTGACCGGTACAGCCTAAAAGCTTAAATGATGATGTTGCCAAACTCAGATTTATGGTAAATTAGACCGTTCATCACAAGAACTGCCTCGAACATTTTGATATTCATTTTGACCTTAGGACGGCACTTGACGCTGTACCCCCGTGTGAAGCTCGTCAGGAAGGTTGAGCCCACGGCATACAAGGGAGTGTTCTCGCCTGAATCAGTTCCTGGTTGAAGGGTAGCAAACACGAGTTAGCATCAACAGGGAGAAGTTGGAGTGACTGTCACTAGTGATCCACCTGGTTGTCTGTTCTGGAGCCTGTTGTTCATAATATGTCAATGACTTAGATGTTGGGGTGAACACTAATAACAGCAAGTTTGTTGATGACACCAAAGTTATGCGAATAGTAAGCTCGAATAAGGACTTGGCAGAACTGCAGAAAGACCTCGTTACATTACAGAACTGGACACAAAAGTTGCAAATGTAGTTCAACGTTTATAAGTGCAGTCGTTAACTTGACCCCAATATGACTAACCAACCTTTCAAGATGGGGAATTCTTACCATTTCATACCTAGCTCTTGAAATGTAACCCTATGTAACCCATCATATAGTCTAATGTACCTAAATAAATGCAGATATACCTAATTATGATAATAACAAAAGTTGGAAACGACAGTAGCATCGTCTACCAGGTGAATGGATGCAGAATTGAGCAAATAATTACGTAAAGAGACTAGTCATGACTGGCAGACCCGACACCTAGGCAGCAGTGTATCAACGTGCGTAGCAAAGCGGATGCTGAGTTTATAACCAGAAACGTCGACAATAAATGCACACATTTCGTCCTGCAATCATATATGGCTCTGATGAGCCAAATAGGGGCTACGGCGTCCTATTCTGGTCACCGTATTGCAGAGTGGACAAGGATTCCCTCGGGAAAATCCAACATAGTATTTACCAGATTAATAACAAGGTAGAAATAACCTAAGCTACTCTATCCTTTTGTGATTATTTATTATCTAATTTAAATTATCGCAATTAACTTGAACCAAACTAATCCTTGGTATGGCGTCCTTCCACAAGAGGATAGGTTAAGGGAACTCGGCCCCCACTCCCTGAGACTATCACTGACAGATCCAACCAAAGCTCTAGTTTCATAAAGATTTGTTAAAGTAATAGCACTAATTACAGTACGTGAAATGGAGAGAAAAATATAGAACTATGAAAATGTAATTGTATTCTTTTCAAGTAAAATTTACAAAAATGCGTTGGTCTTAATTATATTAGAGAAACGTATTTTTAATACAAAATTAGCAACCTTTCTTGAGATAACGTTTTCTTGTTAAATTCATATAAAGATTAGTCGTCTTAATTACACAAGTGTTTATCGAATGTTCGCTATTACTTCCTTATGACAGTATAGCTGCTTGATGAATGAAGCGCGTTCTGTACTAATATGCAAATCCGTGATGATAATTTTTGTTTAGTTGGCGGCAATTTAAGAGTATTACCGGAGTGAACCGTTCGGCAGTCTGGGCGTTATCACATCTAGGTTGTCGCAGCCACTCCATATCACTCGATAGCAGTGAGCGGCCACTTGAGGACACGCGTTAAACTGATGAACAAGCTGAAACTGACCAGCTGATGTGTGAGTGGCTGCTGGTGGATCAATACACGCACCATAGTTGCATCTGACTACGAAGAAACAGCTGGAGAGTTTCCTGCAAGATATGCTCGACCAACCGGGCTGTAGTGGATATGTGGGCCTGCGGACCGCTCCAAGCAACAGCTCGTTGGACCAAGCTCTCTCAAGTCAAGCCTGGCCCCGGGGGTGGTCTTGGAGAGTAGAACATCTCCCAGAGCCCCATCCAGGTACAGGTACAATCCTGGTGGTATGAGCGTGTCCTGGGAGCGGCCAGGTGGATGACGGACACAGCTGGTGTACTAGAATAGCGTTGAGAGTGAGAAGCTGCGACCTGAGGATCACAGTATCACGCTGTAGCCCTTCACATAGCTTAGAGAAACCGCATAAATGCATGTTCCAAATTTGAATTATAAATTGTGTAATGCACACGTTGCGTTGGGCACAGCTGCAGCACGTGATATGGGATTTCATATAACTTTGCATGCAACGCCACAGAGGTCCGAATGTTATGCAAACTAAGCACGCGTTCAGCATAAAAATTACTGTTGCAACACACACGATATAATTTATCATTATTACCCTTAAAGTCTACAATAAAGTGGAGGTATGCGCCACAATGCAATAGGTGACTGGTAATAAAGTTGAATGGTCTTTTTATTACATGTGGAGTTGTTTCGTTCAGGCTTCATATTAATTAAAGTACAGTTTTCGCAGAAAGCTATATGCGAGCCTTGCAAACTTAAATGTTAAGAGCGTGAGTGTAATGGATGTCTGGCGCTTAACCACATTCCACACCCGCTGCGTAGCGTATTTATTAATTAAGGACACGTTGGCGGCTTTCTCCCGCGATTGATGAAGATTAAGCCACCCAAGAGGTGACACGGGTATGAGTAGCCCTTAAGTGCTAGAGGTTTAGATAAATGTGATCTTTGGTGATGTGAATCTCCCGCGCGTACCTAATGAACGTAAAAACCCCAACCCAAACACAGCACCTCCGAACTACACCCCTTTTTTTTCCCAAGTTCAGTCAGCGCCATGTGTGTGTTAGATTTGTGTTAAGCGTGTAGTGTGTACATATGTGTGTGTGCGTTAAACGTGTAGTGTTTACATATGTGTGCAATAAGCGTGTAGTGTTAATGGTCAGACTGCTCCCCAAGGCCAGTAGCAGTCGTGTGTCGTCCACTCGGCACTGTAATTTTCCATCCATACTGTTCCTGAATTTTATGAATGACCTCATAGTTGATAAAGATGTTCTGTACTCGAATGTTGGTGTATAAATGTCTGGGCTGGCAGGTGTTCCACTAGTATCTCTGGAGTTTCCTTCCTGATGAGAGCGCGCTCCCTTGGACCTGGAGGGTGGCGACAAATATGGTAGGTTAGAATAATTGGAAGTAGGCTGTGGGTCTCAATACCGGGAAGCACCGTTTGGCTGGTATCTTGGTGGAGCAAGGGGTGGCAACAGAGGGAGGGGTGGTGGGTGGTGATGTGGGGGAAAGGGGGGTGGGCTGGTGACTGTTGTTGGTAGCGCAGGTGACTGCTGTGAGGGTGTTAGTGGATAGTAGTAGTGTTGGATGCGTATGTAGTGGTGAAAGTTCATGTGGTAGAAGTATTAGATGGCAGGACGTAAGGTAAGGATGTGTTATCAGCACTGTCGCCCCGTGACGTTAACTAAAACACACGCACGCGCGCACGCACACACACACACACACACACACACACACACACACACACACACACACACACACACACACACACACACACACACACACACACACACACACACACACACCCACACCCACACACCCACACACACACCCACACCCACACACCCACACACACACCCACACACACACCCACACACACACCCACACACACACCCACACACACACCCACACACCCACACACACACCCACACACACACCCACACACACACCCACACACACACCCACACACACGCGCGCACTCTCTCTCTCTCTCTCTCTCTCTCTCTCTCTCTCTCTCTCTCTCTCTCTCTCTCTCTCTCTCTCTCTCTCTCTCTCTCTCTCTCTCTCTCTCTCTCTCTCTCTCTCTCTCTCTCTCTCTCTCTCTCTCTCTCTCTCTCTCGCTCTCTCTCTCTCTCTCTCTCTCTCTCTCTCTCTCTCGCGCTCTCTCTCGCGCTCTCTCTCGCGCTCTCTCGCGCTCTCTCGCTCTCTCTCGCGCTCTCTCTCTCTCGCTCTCTCTCTCGCGCTCTCTCTCTCTCTCGCTCTCTCTCGCGCTCTCTCTCTCTCTCGCTCTCTCTCGCGCTCTCTCTCTCGCTCTCTCTCTCTCTAGCTCTCTCTCTCTCTCGCTCTCTCTCGCGCTCTCTCTCTCTCTCGCGCTCTCTCTCTCTCCCTCTCTCTCGCGCTCTCTCTCTCTCTCGCTCTCTCTCGCGCTCTCTCTCTCGCTCTCTCTCGCGCTCTCTCTCTCGCGCTCTCTCTCTCTCGCGCTCTCTCTCTCTCTCGCTCTCTCTCTCTCTCGCTCTCTCTCTCGCGCTCTCTCTCTCTCGCGCTCTCTCTCTCTCTCGCGCTCTCTCTCTCTCGCGCTCTCTCTCTCTCGCGCGCTCTCTCTC